CCAGTAGCCTGTCTGCCGACAGCGGCCAGCACCAGGTGCCCCAGAGGGAGGGAACACAACAGGTTATCCTCATGTGATCCCTCCCATCACCCACCTCCAGAGAAACAGAGGCCAGAGATACCATTCCTACCCCTCCTAACAGCCATTGATGGATCTAACCTCCACGAATCTCTCTAGCTCTTTATTGAACCCTGTTAAAGTCCTGGTCTTCACCACATCCTCTGGCGAGGAGTTCCACAGGTTGACGGTGCGCTGCGTGGGGAAAAAAGTCCTTTGGTTTGTTTTAAACCCGCTGCCTGTTCATTTCGTTTGGTGACCCCTCATTCTTCTATTGTGGGATCAAGTGAATCACTTTGTAGCGCCTTGTCCTCACAATTGCGGTGTTGCGGTCAATGGGAGACAGTGAGCCGGCATGTGCGCCTTGGGAGGAGTGAGAATTTTAACACTGAGTGTTTTTCTCCAAACGGGTGTCCGGCCATTGGAGTTGCAGGGACGCTAATTCCGTAAGAGGCCGAAACGACATCCATCCTGACACCTTCGCAGATTAGGGGGGGGTCATTTTCTGTGAGCCTTGGCTGCCCATGATGCCAGCAAGGTGGGGCGTCTAGCCAAGATGTGGCACCCAGCCCTCTACACTGTTAACAATTACAACCGAGGGAAATACAAGTGTGGGGGAAGAAGAGAAGACGGGTTCATGAGCGGGCCCTTCCCGGCTATCTCTTTCCTTCCATAGGGGGGTCCGACCACGAATCCCGGCCCCCCACCATGCAGGTGTGGCTGGCTTCACGGGAGGGGAGGGGAGGGGAGGGGGGACGCTGGCAGATGGAACGTGACTTCCTCAGGACCCGCCTTTACACTGCTCGCCCAATAAAGACGTCCTCTCGTCGGTGCGTTGGCTTGATTCTGCAACAAAAACACAGACAGGGGAATCTCCAACCAGTTCGCTGGGAGGGGAGTGGGGACTAGAGGTTAGAGCAGGGTGACCGTTCCCTTCTCCTGCTCCTGTCTCGGCTGCATCGCTTCCAAGTGTTCCCGTGCCTCAGTTTACCTCTCTCATGCTCGGAGGTGGGAGGGGGAGGACATGGGTGGTTCTCCGGAGCGTTCCCACCCCTCACATGGCCCAATCAGCGGATTGGCCAATCGCTGGCTCATCTGAGTCACCGGCCTCCTCCCTGCCAGCGAGTATGCAGCCGGTCCAGCTGGTTGCTGTGGAGTCGGTGCTGTTGTGTTCACCGCCGGTGCCCCCCACTCCAGGCATGGTCAATCCGGAGTGGCCCCGCCACCCATGACAGCTGGTATCGCCTACCTGCCCCCAGTGGGTGCTGCTAAATATCATGTCGTTCAAAGGGAAACTGAGGCACAGAGAGGCAAACCGGGGATGGAACCAAGAAGTGCTGGCTTCCCGCCCCTCCTTGCTCTAACCACTAGACTCCCTCCCCATCCCAGAGCCAGGGTTGGAACCCAGGAGTCCTGGCTTCCCACCCCTCCTTGCTCTAACCACTAGATCCTCCTTCCCCCTTCCCCCAATTCCCAACCACCTCTCCCGCCCGGTACCTCTCTTCCTCCTGCAGAGCCGCTTGATGACGTGCCACATCCATTTCAACACGAGGCAGAAGCACTTGCATTTGTCACACATCGTGGGGGCTCTGTGGGTTCGCCTGCGTGGGGGGGGGGGGGATGCCAGCGGTCAGATCTGCTCCTGGCTGCCTCGCCAACTTCCTGCGGGGCTGGCTCCTGGGCCGGGTTCAGCTCCTTCTTGCCCCCCCTTCCAGACCGGTTCTGCTCTTGGCTGCCCAGCTGGCACCCCTCTGTCTGGGGGCCCCCCCTGCGCACTGCGGGGCTGGCTCCTGGGCAGGGCTCAGCTCCTTCTTGCCCCCCCTTCCAGACCGGTTCTGCTCTTGGCTGCCCAGCTGGCACCCCTCTGTCTGGGGGGCCCCCCTGCGCACGGAGGGCCGCTCCCTCCCACCGCCGGCC